TCTCTCTCTCTCTCTCTCTCTCTCTCTCTCTCTCTCTCTCTCTCTTTGTATGATTTAAATCGTTAAATTTCGAAGATAATTATATGGTAAAAACGAGCACCATTTTTCGTCAAAGAAATCCCTCGTATCAAATACATTTCGAATTTTATACATTATAATATATGTTATTAAACAGACATTCCGCAGACATTAAAGCGGTAGCGAATAAATAAGCGGCGACGCAATGAAATTTCTCATTCAAAAAGAGAACTAGTGTTAGAACTTTATCGCGTTCAAAATGTGTAATAAAATTCCCGTTTAACGATCCCTTCCTTCTCTTCAATATTACTCACGCGAAAAACAGGTTCCCACTGGTTTCGGACTGTAACATGTCAAAAACACACATTTTGTCAGTCGCTATTTTTACGTACATACGTCAGTCCCTCATAATGTTCAAAGTTTATATGCTGCTCGAAACTTCATTGTACATTTCTTATTCTCGCTAGTTCTCATATTAAAAAGGCACATTCCATATGATAAATAACAGATAATCAAACGGCATTTAAATTATTTCTATATCTTTTTTCTCTCCAATGAAAATATATGTATTTTCATGTTTTTTTCAGGTAAAATACATGGGAGCTGCTCCAGTCGGTGGACGTGTGGCGAGCGTGCGAGGTCTTCAGGAACCTCTTCGTCAACTATTGGAACGCATGGAGGGATGCATAAGAGCCGAGCTGGAGGTCTCCAGGCGTGGACTGACGTTCCGCACGAGTGACGTTTGTGAGAAGAATAATCCTTTTCGCAGAATAGCGGTATGGAGCGCCCTGCGGCTCCGATGCAAGAGAATACCATCCGGTGACGTGCATCATGCCTTTTTACCTTTAGTTGGCGATCAAGACCAGGGACAAACGATGGAAGACAAGCACGCCGATCTTTATAGGTGGGCAATCCTCGCAGAAATTTAATTTACTACTAGCCAATATTATACTAGAGATTACTTATTTTGAGTATTAAAAGCGCTATTGTTCAGTGCTTTTAATATTCAAAATAAGTAATAAATCAGTATATTCCAATATTAAATTTCTAAGGGAATACGGCATGATAATTCATTTTCTGAGACATAAGAATCCAGAATACACAAGCACTATTATATATATTACATATTATATTATATATTTTATATATTCACATATTTATTAT